TGCATGTGTGTGTGTGTGTGTGTGTTTATATAAGCAGTTACATATATGATTACATCATGCTTTGTGCGGGTGTGTGTGTGTGTGTGTGTGTGTGTGGGCGTTTAGCTTTTAATATTGTATAGGGCAGCTGGCACTGCGATTCCAATTGCGTGGGCTGCTGCTTGTTTCCAATTTGCGGCACCATTTACCAGGCCAAAGTCTGGTTAGTTTCTGGTTAGAATACAGAATGTACCCAATAAGACAGCATAATGCATGCGTGCGTTTTGTGCCAGCCGCAGCGCAAAACAAATGGAATTCGTTTGTGGCTAAGATAATTGTTTTGTAATTTAAATGTTTTATTGCATATTTAATTGTTTTTTCTTAAGGTGAGGTTTTCTGATTGGAATTTAAATAGCCACTGCTTGCGGCCGTTAGCAGCGGGCGCTGCCTGTGCGCTGCTTGCTGTTCAAGCAGTTTGTGTTTACAGTATGTTGACGCAAATTGAGCAGCCACTATGCTGTTAACGCAAAATTGAGCGCAGGCTGGCGCACAGTTGAGTAACGTGAAGTTAGCAGCGGTTGCCGCACAAGCCCGGCATATTTGAAACGCAAGTACAGTGAAACCAAGCCGCCCATTTCCCACTCAAATTGAGTACAAACCAAATTGCATATTATTTGAAATATATTTTATTGGTAGGCAGTTTTGAAGAACATTTGTAATGACATTTATATATAATGAACATGTTTCAAATAATCGTTTCATTTCATACCATTTCATCTCGTATTTTTTTTTTAATATTCTTCTATGTATGTATATAATAAATTTATTTATTTTGTGGTTTTTCTTGTTGTTGTTGTTCTTTTAACTCATATATTATGTTATGTTATTTTAGTTGCTGCGGTTTTCTTTTAATGCATATACCTTGTAAACTTATTTAGTTCATATATGTATAATATATATATATATATATTTATATATATATATATATATATATATATATATGTAGGTATGTATGTGTGTATGTGTATATATATCATGGCTTAACTATATATATAATGTATATATATATAAGTATTTGTTTATGTTTTTATTTATCAATAATCAATATCGTAGATCACCAAACTTGTTAAAAAAATGTATACACGAATTTCTTTTGGTTTTTTGGTATTTTTGGTATTTGTTTGCCTAGTATTTTGTTCAAACTGCTTTTTACGCTTCTCTCTAAACAAGTTAACTGCTGTTGTTGTTGTTGTTGTTACAATTTTGATCTCATTTTAAACGTTCTCGGCCCACTGTACTCTGCTATGTTTGCTTTTATTTATATATGTATGTATATATATATATATATATATATGTTTATATAATTTGCGCTATTTTTCTATACTTTTTTAAATACGCTTATCTATGCTGTGTGTGTGTGTGTGTGTGTCTGTGTGTGTGTGTATTGCTTTCAGTGTGACCAAACACTAAATTCTCGGCACTAAAAAAAACTCAAATAAATTAACCAAAGCTCTGTTTGCGATTACTGTTAAATTCATTGGGTAACTTACTGTTAAGTGTATACGTGTGTGTGTGTGTGTGTGTGTGTGTGTGTGTGTGTGTGTGCCTATAACATTGAGTTTACAGTATGCTAATTACATAATCGAATTTCTAGTTTTTGTTGCATTTATTATTATTTTGTTTTGTATAGAAAAATGTTGAAGCTTTTTTTATTTGATTTTAATTTTAATATTATTATTATTTATTATTTGTATTAATTGTACGAGTTTTACGTTTTAGTTTGTAATTTGGGTACACGACGGCGGGGATAATATGATTAAAGTGTTTTTATTTATAATTGTAATTTCTTGTATTATTATTTCTAATGTTGCTTTTTGTTTATTTGTATATATATATATAGATGTATATGTATATAATATAGACAATGTACCGTTAGTTTTTAATTTAGTTTTCATCTCTTTTGTTGTAGTTGAAACTATCTAGGCTAATAATAATATTAATAAGAACTTGTTCATACTTTAAAGGCAAATGTTTTCCTTTGTTTTGAAATTTTTTTGTTTACAGAAAGAGATAGAGAGAGAGTTTTTTCTATATCTATATATATATATATATATATATATATATATATATATATTTATTTATTTATTTATGTAAATATGTTTATATAGAGAATAATTGTTCTTCATTTACATGTTCTGTATTATTTTTGGTGCTATAACATATATATATATATATATATATATATATATATATATATATATATATATATATATATATATATATATTGGGGATATGTTGGCTTTCAACAGAAATTGAATTTTTAATTTAGACAAAGTTGTGTATGTGTGTTTGTGTGTGTGTGTGTGTGTGTGTGTGTGCCTGTCAAATATTGTCAACGTTGTGTGTTTTTCCGAAGTTTGATGTGTCCCAACGATTTTGTTGATTTGTCCTTTCAATTGCTTGATTAAACTGTGTGTTCTTTTTTTCGAGTGTACTTACGAGTAGTTTTATGCAAGTATCGATGCTAAGTATATATGGCATATATAGAGTTAACTGTAGTCATATATAATACATCTTGTGTTATGCCTAACCTCTTTCTATATATATATATGTATATATGTATATGTATATAGATATAGATATATGTTTATGTACACATTTGCCCGGCTGTTGGCAATGTTTAGAGACAAAGAAGTGTTTAATTATTACTTGACTTGCAACTCGTTTAACTGCGCTTTACCCGTCGTTCCTAGTTTAGGAACTTTTTAGGGGGCCCTTAGTTATGTACACACAAAGCGAATGCCTATCGAATGTGTTGATTCGATAGCATTGCCTCAACTAACGATAAACAGCGTATATGCATATATATGCATATATATATATATATAATTAACGTAATGTGTGAGTATTGCGTTATTTTCGACTGACTGACAACGTTATCGATAACGCTATCGATAGCGATAACGATGTCGATAGATATTTCAATATGTTATCGATTTATCGATTGTGTAAATTATAATCGAGTGTTGATTTGATGAGCACTTTTTCGCTTTGCTTTGCTTCGCTTTGGTTCTAAGTATAAAAAAGAAATTTTATCTTTTGGGTTTGATTTTGTCTATCGATTTGTTATCGATAACTATTGCGAGTGTGTGATATTGATATATATATATATATATATATATATATATATATATATATATATATATATATATAGATATAAGGTTGTATGATATGATTGTTTGTTTAATCTGAATGTCTTGGGCGTTGTCAAGTGATTGGGGGTATTCCGCTAATAAACAAATGTGTTTAAGTTTTTTTTTTTTTTAGCAGCAATTGAGTCTTAATTGAAAATGGTTTTTTTTTTGTGTGTCTATGCGTGACGGGAGTACCGCTAATGTTGCATTTTATTTTGATTAGCTTCAATTCAAACAGAATTCTTTGAGTTTTATTGGAGTTTCTTCCACTTTAATGAAATGAACATATTTAATTTATATGGAAACATTGGCAGTGTTAATAATCTTTGCTTGAAAGAATACAAAATGTGGAAACAACGCTAATAATTCTATATATATATATATATATATATATATATATATATATATATATATATTGCTAGACGATCTTAATTTTTTATATGTAAATATATTTATATATATATATATATATATATACTGTATGCTAGTATATATATATGTATGCATTTGTATGATAACAATAACACATTTGCATTTATCTAAACTCTTCTAAATAAAAAAGCAAACTTTGACAGTGTACATTAGGGGCATGCCCTTAATTCTATTGCCGAATCGATGCACCTCACAGCAAGAGATTAAAGCGGGGAGCTGAGTGTGGAGTCTGGAGGCGGGAGTTTGACAGTGAATATTTGGGGTATTCCCTTTATTCTACTTGCCGAATCGATTCAACCCAAATATTGGGGGTTTTCCCTTTATTCTACTTGCCGAATCGATTCAACTCTGGACTGGACAGTGAACATTAGGGGTATTTCCTATTCCCTTACTGTGGAGTGTGAAGTCGGGAGTTTAAATTGAACTAGATGCTTTCATTAGGTATATTCTTGTATATGTATTAAATTTGATCTCTATGTACGATAGATGCCATGTATATTTGAACTAATTAAAATAGATTTCGAATGAAGTTTTAAGTTATATTCTATTTGAATTTGAGTTTTGAGTTTTTAGGCATATTTCTGGTAATAGTTTCTTGCAATTTACTCTTTGGTACACGGCTAAAGGCTACGCAATATTTTATACACATATGTATATTTTTATATATATTCATATCGTCATTTATAATCGTATCAGGGGCTATATATAAATTTATTGCTCTACTCTTTATTTGTATACGTATTCGGATCGCACGACTACGATAGATGCTGTATGTACAGTGTGTGATAAATATATAGTATGTGTGTTTATATATATATAGATTTATGTTCTGCATGTGTCTTGTGATTTTGAATTTGTTTTCAGTTTTTTAACTAACTATAACAGAGGCTAGCACATCGTTAGCTACATAAATATATATATATATGTACTTTTCATAATTATACGATACGTTGCCTAACAATTTATACGTAGTATTTATGTATATTTGATAATTATATTATTTATTCATTTGTTTCGCTTTTTTCTTGCTTTTGTGAATCACATTCGCGCCGTATGCAAAACTGGGTATCGTGCCGAGAAAAAAAAGACGAACTCTATTTGAGTTTACACAACTTGAAAAATGTAAAATATTTGTAGAGAACTTTGAAATTTGATAAAATTGTTCATTTACAGGGTATCGGATGTCGTGTTAACTCAATACGAGCCGGTGCCGGGAAAGTGTAGTCTACTTTACAGCGTATAAGACGAACAGATTCGAAGATCAACAGTTAACTAGACAGCGAGAGCAAGAGCAAGAGCAAGAGAGAGAGAGAGATAGAGAGAGAGAGAGGGGTTCGAAATCGATTGAGGGGGAGAGTTAAGTTGAGGTTAAGTTGAAGTTCGAAATGGAGAGAGTTACAAATCTGACATTTACATAAATGCATTCATAATTTGAGTATAGCGGCAACCTAATTACAATATAATAAATATCAAATAATTTGCTTGCATTTACATATGTCATTTACAAATGTGTGTGTGTATGTGTGTGTATGTGTGTGTGTGTGTGTGTGGTACATAGTAGTAGAAGAAATACTGCATAGTCGGTATATCGGTAATCGGTAGTATACAAAATAGTAGACAGTGCTGTTATTTGTTGTGTTAGGCTTGTACTTATACTTGCGGCGAGACAAGTACTTATACGCTTTCGATTTAGAAGAAGCTCTTCAAGAAGCCAGCGGGTCCAGCCTGTAAAAAAAAAAAAAAAAACCAGCAGCCGATTAAGTTTAACAGCGTGTATAAGACAATAAATGTTAACTTACGTCCTGCTGCTGCTGCTGTTGTGTTTGTGCTTGTTTGACTTTGGCTTGAGCGATCTTTAAGGCTCTGCGAGAGTATAAGAGTGATTAGCTTGTTGGTTTCACCTGTTTTTTTATTTCATTTATACTCACTGTTGCAAATCCATAATGGTCTTCTCTTTGGCATTTTGCTCCTCTTGTGACATTTGTACCAATTGCAGCAGGCGCTCCGTTTCGGTTGCCGCCTTCTTGTGCTCCTCTTTTGTGTTTTGCAGTTCCTTGACGCAGCTGCAAGGTCAGAAAATACAAAATATGATGAGTATAAGAGCTTTAGCAGAGAGTTTAACATTGCATTGCTGTGTTCTGTTATGTTCATGTTATGTTAAGTCTAATCAACAGCCGCGGCAATATAAGCTAATGTAATGATTATTAACATTGCACTGACATGCTATGTTAACATCTTATGTTAACTCTGGTTATCGATGTTCGATATATGTTATGCTTATGCTAATGTCAACAGCTGCCGAGGCATTATAAAAGTAACATAGTTCGGTCACACTGTTGAAAAAATGGCGCATCATTCGCCAAATTCGCGAATAATAAATGACTTAATATTGTGTTTAAGTGGTAAAGTGCAAGTGTTAAGTGCTCAAATTATGAAATAAATATTGTCAGGTAAGTTGATAGCCTGTTAAAGCTTTTACTTACGCCTCGAGCTGCCGCTGCGTGTCCATTAGCTTTTTGTTAAGCTCGCCGGCGGCCGCTGCGCCGCCGCCCTGAGTCTGCAATGACTTTTCCAGCTGATCCATTTGCTCCTTTCGCTTGCGCAACTGCACATCGAACTCGGCCATTTTCTTTTCCTTGTCCTCGATATCCTTGCGCTTGGCCTCGATCTGTTTGCGCTGCTCGTCGATTATCTTGCGCTCGCCTTCGGTGGCCTTCGCCTGGTTGTCGATCTGTTTGCGCACCTCCTCCAGCTGCTTCTGCTGCTGCTCCAGTTGCTGCCGCTGTACGTCTGTTGCCGCGGCGCCCGCGCTGCCCGCCTGCTGCAGCTGTTGCATTTGCTGCTGCAGCTGTTGGATCTGCTGCTGCAGCTGCTGCACCTGCTGCTGCGCCGTCTGCAGCTGCTTTGCCTGCTCCTGATTGGACAACTGCACCGATTGAATGAGTGAGGGAGGGGGGGGGGGGGGTAGGCAAAACAAACATGTTAAGTCGATTAACAACCCTGTATAAAGTTCTGACTGGCACACATACATAAACACATACACACGCACGCACACACACATACGACCGCACGGCTGCGTCTGTGTTTCTGCTTCTTCTTCACGCTTTGTGCAAAATGCATTTGCGAATAACTTTGAAGCTTTTTATTCGATTTTGATGATTTCTTTTTCAGCATTTAGTTGTTATCCTTCGCTTCTTTTGAACATTATTATTATTTTTTAATTCTCCCAATTATTAAATTTTGTTCGTTCTAAACTTTTAAAAGTTTTGTGTATCTTCGTTTAAAAGATTTTTTCTTTGGTGAAATATGGTAAAAGGTGAAATATGGTGAAAGGTGAAATAGTAGACTATGAGAAAAATCATAGCCTCATACTACATTTAGAATTTCCAAGCTCTTATACAATAAATTACGATAGCTTAAATATGTGTATCGACTCTTATCGATATCATCGACTTATCGATCATTTAAAATAATCTTTACCGCAAATCTAGTTCAAGTTCTCTGGCGCTTTAAGTCTTTAATACTGACACGTTTTAAGATATTAAATATATTCTTCCTTCTTTCTTTCCTTCATTCACACATCTCTACACACAGCCATTTCTCTCTCATTCTTAAGCTATTCTCAAGGGATGCACACTTATTTAGGAATAGCGCTTAGTCGTTCGCTTACCTGGCTCTTTTCAAGCTCCTGCACCAATAGCTCCAGCTGCTGCTGGAAGCGATCACGCTCCGTGCAGGCCGCCTGCAGTTCAACTTTGACCTTTTCAAGCTCCTTGGCATCGACGCCGCCGCTGGCTGCCGCCGTTTGCTGTTGCTGCGCCGCCTGCTGCGCTGCCTGCTGCTGCTGTTGCGTCATCTGCTGCTGCATCTTTTGCATCTGGGCGTGCTGATCCTTGATGTGTTGGTCCATCAGCTGGCAAATGGGGCAAATGAGGTTGAAGCTGGGGCTTTCGGTTCGGTTCTTTCGGCTGTACTCACCTGTATGCGCTTGTGCATCTCCTGGGCAGCCTTGTCGGCCATGTCGGCGCGATTCTTTTCCTGCTCGATAACCTTGCGCCACTGTTCGATCTCCTCGCGGCTGGCGCCCGCTGCGGCTGCCGCTGCCTGTTGTTGTTGTTGTGGTCCCGCGGCTGCCAGGGCGCGCTCCGATTCCTGCAGCTTCTGCTGCAGCGTTTGGATCTCTTTTTGCATGGCCTGAATTTCGGCGGGTGCGGCGGGCGCAACGGGCTGGCCGTTGCGCAGCTTGCGATTCTCCTCGCGCGTCTTTTGCAATTCCTGTTCGGCGTTTTGCAGCTCCTTTTGGAAGTTCATCAGTATCTCCTGACTCTTTTCCAGCTGCAGCACAAGCTGTTCACGCTCCATGGCCAGCTGTTTGACATCGTTCTCCAGCTTCTGGACGTGCTTCTCCAGCTGTGGATGGGCGCCGCCGGCGGCACCGGGGCCGCGACTGCTCTGCCGCAGAGCTTCCTTTTCCGACTCGGATTTCTCGAGACGATCGTGCAGGCGTCCAAGCTCGGCGCCCATGCGCTCGAATTCGATGCGCGTGGACTCGGTATTCTCCTGCTGTTTGGCCAAATGCATTTGTGCCTTCTCCAGTTCCTTGGCCAAGCGACCGGCCTCCAGTTCGGTAGCATCGCGCGACTGCAGCGCCTTCTCGAGGCGATCACGCAGCCGATCGATCTCCTGTCGCTCGCCCGCTGAGATCGCGGCGGACGAGCGCACCGGCTCGCCGGGGCTCACCGAGGACTGTTGCAGGCGCAAACGATCGACCTCCTTCAGCAGTTTCTCGTGCTTGTCTCGCGCCTTCTCACGCTCAATGTGGGCACGCTCCAGCTCGCTGCGCTGTTTGTCCTGGTTGGCCAGCAATTTAGCGACCTCGCCCTTGGACAGTTCAAGCTGCAGACTGGTCTCGTGCAGCTTCGACTCCATGTTCTGTATTTCGGTCTCGATCTTCTCGTATTTATCCTTGTATTTCTCAAAGGATTCTGACTCGTATTGCGACTTGCCGCGTATCGTCTCCAGCTCCATCAGTGTCTTGTCCAGCTTCTCGCGCAACCGTTCGTTCTCCTCCTTGAGGCGACGCGTCTCACGTCCAAACGTGTCTGTGTCCTGCAGCTTGCGCAGCTCCACCTGATTCTTTTCGTAGCGCTCGCGCAGCTTCTCCAGCTCGACGGCATAGTGGGCTGCCTCCTCCTTGGCGGCCTCCACGCTGGCGGCCGCTTTGGTCTGTGCCGCATGGGCACGCTCCAGCTCGTAGGTGACGCGCTCCAGCTCCGATTGGAAGTGCTCCTTTTCGCCCTGGGCGCGTCGTATGTCCGTTTGCATCTTGTCGAATCGATCCCGATTGTGTTCCAGTTCGGTGCGCGCATTATCCTCGCACTCCTTGGCGCGACTGAGCTGCAGGGCGGCACGATCGCAGGCCTCCTGCAGCCGTGTGCTTTCGTCCTGCAGCTTGCGCAGATCCTCGCGCGCCTTCGAGGCGGCCAAGCCGGAGCGTTCGGCCTCCACCTCGAGTCGGGCGCGATCCGCCTCAGCGGTATCGCAGCGCGATTGCAGGCGATAGATCTCGTTCTGAGCACGATCGTACTTCTCCAGCATCTTCTCGAACTCCTTGTTGGATGTGTCCTTCTCGTCGATGAGCTTCTGGCTGGCATAGAGAGCCTTGTCCAGTTTCTCCTTGAGTATTTCCACCTCGGTGACAGCATCATCGCGCTCCATCTGCAAGAGCAAAGGGATTTGGTCAAGCTTTAAATTAAATCTGGAAGGGATCGGGGCTTTCAGCTGGGCCAAGCAGTGTTCAAGGAAGCTAAAAAATTTACAAACAGCCAATTCACTGGTAGTTGTCAGTTTCTCATGCGTTTTTGATTAGTTACGATTAGTGTTAAATATTATAATATACATATGTGTATATATATTTATAGAGCCAATTGTTTTGTACCTCGCTTTTCTTTGTGTGTTTCTGGGTTCAAATTACCTGCAGTTTCTGCTGTATGGCATGCGATTTCTCATAGCGCTCTTTAAGTACTTCCAGATCGGTTTGCATCGCCTCACGATCTCGTGCGGCCTTCATGAGCAGCGTCTGGGAGGATTCCGAGCGCTCCTTGAGCGTTTCCAGTTCATCAGAGAACTGATCCCTTTCCTTTTGTATGCGCGCTAGCTGCATCTGTTTTTTTTTTTTTTTTATTGAGTGTATTCATGGGTGTATTCAAAGTGTTCGTGTTACATACATACATAGCAGATAGTTGAAAGATAGATACGTATATACGATAGGCAATACACTTAGGATTTATGTTTATATATATATATGTGTATATATATATTTATGTATAATGCATCGCAAATGGTGTTTAGTATGTTCTATATGGTATATGGGCATTTACAGGGCTTCATTGTCGAGAATAGAAGATTCAGGTTGTCTATCAGGCTTCTTCGTATGTCTTAACGTCTGTAACGTATTACGTAACGTCTGTTACATGTTACTTAATGTATGTTTGGTGTTACGTAACGTTTGTTCCGTAATACGTAACGTGTTACGTAACGTCTGATACGTTTTACATAACATTTGCTATGATAAACGCGTTAGTTAAAGTCATGTTACATGACGTAACACACCTAATGCCTGTTACGTAATCCGAAAGACTCATTAGGCATAAGCCAACATTTCCTACCCGTACAACTCGGTCAAATCACGTTCGATTTTCACGAGGTTTGGCCTTTTGTTCAAGGTTTGACCTCTAGAGCAATTTGACGTCTCGATCTAGCAACATTATTCTTGGTCAAAATGAGTTTTTGATGATATTTTCAATTAATTTAAAATAACCTTTTTAGCCGGAAATGCCCATATACCTATATTTAGTAGTAGCTATGTACAATTGGTTGGTGAGGAAGGAAGGGAGGATTATTGTGTTAGTTGAGTATTGGGATTCAGGTATTTACAACACATTACAGTAACATTTGATAGACAACGTTTAGGCACAGGTTAGGTAACAAGATCTACGCGTGTTGCATGGCTCGGCGTCTGTGTCGTGTGTTTCTGTGTGTGTTTCTGCTTTGGTGTGCGTGTCTGTGTGTGTTGTGGCACCTTGGGGGCATCCCATACCTGCGTCTTCTCAAGCTTTTCGCGTATGCGATCCGTATCCAGCGTGAGAGTTTCGCGTTCCTTCTGCATGCGCGCCGCCTGGCCGAGCGCCTTGTCCAGCTGCGATTGGAGATTATCATAGTCATAGGTGAGCTTCTCCTTTTCGAGCACCAGACGTCGATTCTCGGTGCCGGCCTTGTCTAGTTTATCCTGCAGATGATCGACCCTCGTTCTGTGCCTTGTCCAGCGTGTTTTGCAGCTTCTCGTGCTGCAGCTGCGCCTTGCCCAGCGTTGCCTGCGTGCGCTCCATTTCCTCCTTGATCTTCTCCACCTCGGCGAACGCCTATCGTAGGAGTGGGATGTTTTGAGAGGAACGGGCTATGGACTAGCTGAAAGTGTTTGCCTACCCGATCGCGATCGGCGTGTATACGCGAGACGCCGCTCTGCGCCTTCTCCAGCTCCTGGCGCAGACTCTCCTGCTCGCCCTGGGCATTCTCCAGCTTCGCCTTCAGTCGGTACACTTCGCCCTGGCTCTTCTCCAGCTTCTCCTGCAGTGCGGCGGCCTCTTCGCGTGCGCGCTCCGCATCCGACTGCGCATTATCGTTGGGGGTTTTTTGTTATCGTTATCGAGTTAATGTGACGGACGGGGGGTAAATTGGATGTGGATAACGGATATTATTTACAGGCAGCATGTGAGGATGGTTCTTAAATGAATGAATGTCTGACTGACTGACTGACTGGTTGACTGACTGATTGACTGACTGACTGACCGATTGTCAGACACAAAACAAAGGTAAACAACAAGTACGAGTACTTATAATAATTACGATAACAAATACGATTACGATTACGATTACGATAACAGCGTCTAAAACGAGCGATTCATATGTATGCTGCGAGGCTTAGCACAAAGCGAATTCACAATAGACAGTGGATGACACATGACAAATGGGCACAAAGGCATATCGAGAGTAAGAGAGAGAGAGAGAGGCAGAGAAAGAGCGAGAGCAGGCAATGAGGCTGTTTCAAGCAAACGATAGGTGGCGCTCGGGTGCAAAACGGATGCGTGTATGTTTGTGTGTGTGTGTGAATAGGTAAAGCTAAGAGCATTAAGTTTAAGACTGTTAAGCAAAGTGTGCGTGTGAGTGTGTTGCTTGTGTGTGTGTGTGTGCTGCTTGTGTGCCTGTGTGTGTATACGCTTAATTAACAGCTTAACTAAGTCAAGCGCAAGTTTTGCAACTTTCCCGCAGTTCGAAAACTGCTGTCAAAGTCACGTTGCAAAATGGTTTCGCGGCGTTGTTATTGTTGTTTATGTGTGTGTGTGAGAGAGAAAGTGTGTGTGTGCGTGTGTGTATGTTGCTGTGCTTAATCTACGATTCCTGAGTTAAAGCCTTTGGGTAATTCCTGATGTATTTGCTTGTACTTTGTACTTAAGTTTGTCAATTTAATGCGTGGGAGATTTGAAATGCCAAGAAAAGGCATTAGGATTGAGACCTTAGCATATAATATCAAAGCTAATAGTTAGTGCTAGTGATATGAAAAAAAGGTATTATATTAAATGAATCTAGCCAATATCGGAAAGTGTAGAGAAATCTAGCTCTAAATTGCGTAGCGTATAAGTTTAGTTCACGTTTGTGAGCTTGTCTACTTGATAGTTCAAGTTAACTTCAGATTTGCTTTTGGTAAAGATCAGAAGGGCCTAGTAGATTCCAGCTTTAATTAAAAGTTAAAGACTTTTATAGGAGACGTAGAGAATATATCGTTCTCAGCGCCAGCGCTTAAATTCTTGTATTTGACTATCTCAAAGAAGTAAACACTGAATGGCTTTTTAGGAGGTTATTTTGGGTGGGGTTATTTGTGGTTTTCAGATGGTTTTGATGTTCCATTGGAGAACTTTTCGACAATACACACAACTCATGCAGGAGACGCACCCAACACTCAAATGTTTCGAATCCAAACGATGAGAGATGATTTGACATGGACTCAAAGCGATTTATACAAGGTGGAACAAATGTTGTGTTTTATATAAATGTGTTAAGTATTAGTTATGTGGATTAGTTAGTATGATGTTAGGCAATGCAAGTATATATATATATAGCTATGTAGTATTGTACAGTAAGTAAAACATGTGACATCTAGATAGAAGATAAATTCTTGTTTTTTTTTAATACTGATTTCCTATCATCTTGTCAAATGTTTTAGTTTCTGGGTTTTTGTACGAGTATCTTTGTTTGTTTGTTTGTTTGTTTTTCAAGCATTTACTCACAAAACGTTTTTCAGTTTCGCCCTATAGAAAATGAATGTAAGCACAACGGTTTAGATAGAGTTTGGGTTTTAGTATACATTATTTAACAACTTTAAAGAAACACAATAAGTATATTTTAATAGTTAACTATGATTGTATCTTTTTACTTTTTTACGTTAAAGCTAAGTAAAAGCACTAAAAGAACATTACCGATATTTTAAAGTTTAACTAAACTTTCTCTAGCTTTCGCACAAAATGTTTATTTTTGATTTACAGAATACAATTTACAGAATTCTTAAAAATTCGTTCAAATGTTTTCGGCTTTAATTAAATTAAGTTTAAATATTCATAAAAAAAGCAGAACTTTATTTAAAACTTCAAATATTTTGTAGAAAGGTTTCTGCTTTCATATTTGAACTATTTTCAGAAGATTTTATATATTTAAACTTTTGCAAAGACGCGCTGATTTGCAGGTGCAAAAGTGTGTTATGTTTGGCTGTGAGTGTGTGTGTGTGTGTGTGTGTGTGTATGTGGGTGTGCGTGTGTGTTGCAGTAGTTGTTGCTGTTGCAATTGCTGAAAGTGTGGCTTAGTTCAGAAAGTGTTTGCCTTGTAGCAGTGGAAACGTATAGAGTATATAGATTGTATAGAGTATTCATTCATGAATCGAAGCCAGTGCAAACTATTATTAACAAGTATTGTTGTTGTTGTTGTTGTAGCACACGCACACATAGACATGAAATTTGGCTTGCACTTTTTGCGAGAACATTTTCAGACAACTAGCTAATAGAGCACACACAGATACTCGTGTGTGTACAGATATAGATACGAATATGTTTATATATATATATATATAGAGAGAGAGAGATATGTATATATTGTATATGTATATATAGCGTTTATGGGACTTGCGATCGATTAACTGTACCTGTGTCACTCTCAGCTCGGCCTGAGTGCGCCGCAGCTCGGCGGCAGCCTTGTCCGCGCGCTCCTGCGCCCGATCCAGCTCCTGGGATGTGGTCATTGTGGTGCGTCCGAATGTCGTCTATACGCGACGCGAAACATAACAATTAGTATATAGTTTATGGCAGAGATATCTATGTATTAGTTGCAACTACAGAGTTAGAAAACACAGTTAGACAACAACACAAACTGAAGCATTAGCAAAACAAAATAGTCCAGCAGCAAAGCAATTGAAAATGAGCATTACGATGCGTATACGTAATTTGTGACTATGTGTGTACGGTTTATATACTGATTTTGAAGGGTATTTTCGTTAGATATACCCTACAAATTTCAATTAAGTGTGCTTTAATGAACATGAGTTTCGATTTGGGATTTTGTATCAAGCTTTAATATTGTGGGTGGGATTGATAATGGGTGCATTTAACGCTTTCAACATTTGTTTTGTGTACACCAAAGTAACTGCTTCAGAAATCGGTGTGTGTGTTTATAAAGTAGGGCTGCAAACACAACAAAAGGGTTTCAGATGCTGCCATTCAAATTTCCGACTAAAAGCCTTTAAAATTCGTATCAATAAATTTCTTTTTAAATATTTAGTTTGGTTATAAAATCGGTTTGCAGCCCCGGTCAAAGCTTACAAATTGAGTTCTTATAATTCAAGGCCTCAAAAAAGGAAGCTACACTTCCGTTTAACTTAATGTATATTAAATATATTAATATCACTACTCAACACTGCACTTTTGAGCTATGCATATTTAAGTGTTGTAAAATAACGCAAATTTATAACATAATGAGCCTGAGCTAGAGCCTAACGAAGCGTGACTACAAGGCGTATACTTCATATCGAGCATTGGCTTTGGCATATCGATAAATGTTTGTCTAAATCGGTGAGT